GGCCAAGTCATCATTAAAAATAGTAATAAATAAATTTAACCATATAAAAATCAAAACTTTCTGCAAGAAAGCTGTTATAAATTAGTAACACAACAGAATGCCTGTCAACACATGCAAGTAGTTCACAGAGAAAACAATCAAGCTGATTTACAAATGTATGAAATCTAAGGCTGAGTGCAGTGCCTCACAACTGTAATCCCAGCACTCTGGAAGGCCAAGGAAGGCAGATTGTTTGAGCCCAGGAGTTGGAGACCAGCCTAGGCAACATGGTAAAACCCCATCTCTACAAAAAATACCAAAAAAAAATTAGCTGGGCGTGGTGGCACACACCTGTAGTTCCAGCTACCCAGGAAGCCCAAGAGGGAAGATCACTGAAGCTAGGGAGGTTGAGGCTGCAGTGAGTGGTGACTGCACCACTGCACTCCAGCCTGTCTCAAAAACGAAATCTACCTACTTCCTTCATAATTAACGAAATACAAGTGTGGGCTGAGTGTGGTGGTGCACACCTGTAATCCCAGCACTCTGGGAGGCCAAGGTGGGGGTAGGATCACTTGAGGTCAGGAGTTCGAGACCAGCCTGGCCAGCATGGTGAAATCCTATCTCTACCAAAAATATAAAAATTAGCCAGGCATGGTGGCAGGCACCTATAATCCCAGCTACTCAGGAGCCTGAGGCAGAAGAATTGCTTGAACCCAGGAGACGGAGGTTGCAGTGAGCCGAGACTGCACTACTGCACTCCAGCCTAGGCAACAGAGCAAGACACTGTCTCAAGAAAAAAAGAAAAGAAGTACAAGTGGAAACAGCAGGATTTCACTATCTATCTTATCAGAAAGGCAAAAACAATTGATAATAAACAATACTGGCTAGGATATAAGGAAATCGGCACTGTCTACACATTATCTGTGTGAGTATGAAATGGTACAGCCACTTTGGAATTGGCAATATTTATAGATATTTTTAAAGCACATGTTCTTTGACCTAACAATTTTACTTTTAGATAGTAAACCTACATATACTCAACACATATGCAAAAACTTAAGTGCAAAGATATGCACTACAGTATCTAATAGCAAAATGCTGGAATCAACTTAAATGTCCATCAGTAGAGGACTAGTTAAATAAATGTTACACCATACAATGTAATATTAAACAGCCATAAAAAAGAACATCTGTATGTGCTATTATGGATTGATCTCAAATATATATGTTTTTTAAAAAAAGCAAGATGCAGAACAATATAGTGTTTCCATTTGTGTCAAAAAAAGGAACAAAAAAAATTTATATATGCAAAAACTATTTCTAAAAGAATCTACAAATAACAGGTTGACTTTGAAGAAGGAACCTGAGGAGTCCAGGGTACAGAGGAGAATTTCTGCCTTTAAATAAATAAAACAAGAAATATAAAATTGAGGCCTGGCGCAGTGGCTCAAGCCTGTAATCCCAGCACTTTGGGAGGCCGAGGCGGGTGGATCACGAGGTCAAGAGATCGAGACCATCCTGGTCAACATGGTGAAACCCC